AGAATAACATAATACCACAGTACTACGCGATTTCATATTATAATAACATTTTGGAATAGTTTAATTATTGAACTTGAACTATAATAATTATTACAATTTACTAGTTCAAGATGCTGATTGTTGCAGTTGATTAATTGATTATTGTAAGAGATAACATTGTTGGTTAAATATTATTGTCATAAAAGTACTATTTTACGTTTTTTTAAAGTAAATATTGATTTGAATTATTATGTTTTAATTGACCTGTGCCTATAATACCTTCGAAATATATTTTAACAGTCCATATAATAGCTAGAATTATAGTTTTAATATAGTAACATTGTTTTTATACTAACTTTACATAATTGAATCCTAATTAAAAAAATAATTAACGCAAAAGTGTTACTATAAAATTATTAAAATGATTATAAAAAAATAATTATAGAAAATATTAAATTATATGACTACACACCTTAAAAAGAAAAAATAATTTAACTAATAATGCCAGAAATATCTCTTAAGTGTTCATTACTTTTTTATTAAGAGGTAAATAGTCATGCAAAAATCGTAAATTAGCTCTTCTGTAAAATTTAGTTTTTTTGTTTAGGAACGGTTTCGAAATGAAGGTGCGATATATATATATATATATATATATATATATATATATATACTATAAATCAGAGTTCCCCAAACTTTTTTGTGTCGTAGACCCATTGCCATGTTTTTCCGTGTTGGGTAGACCCCCTACTTACCTGATATTGATTTCCTGTAAATTTTTAACTATAGTGAAGTGTAGTGATAAAAACTTAAAGTAAAAACACATGTTAATTTATACATTTATTAATTGAATTTAAATTAAAACTACTCAAAATAAAATTTTGTATATGTTACGTAAAACATACGTAGCAATAAACATAAAATAAACTATAAATAAAATAACATAAGCAATAAGTCAATTTTTTTAGTGAGAAGGATGAACCTGATGCTTTAATAATAAATTATCAACATTTGGCGTCAATTTTGTAAGAGTTAATCTTAAATCTCCTCGGCTAATGATGTCCAGTCTGTTTCTTTTTTTCGTTAGGAGATTGGTAACAGCGCTGAACCCCCTTTCCACTAGGTATGACGATGGAAAGGAAATTAAAAATTTCCTCGCTATATTCCATAATACGGGATAAATAACGGGTATGTTGTTTTGCAGCCAGAATTGCTGATATACGTTTTTAAACTGAACCTTAAGTTCTTCGTTTGTACTTAGTTCAGTCAGTTCCTCCTGTATTATGTCCTCCTAACATTCGTTTCTTCTATGTCACCATATAGAATTATTCACGGTGGTATTACCATAGTTAAGATATCCTCAAACCTAGATTCAAAATCTGAATAGAGGGCATTTAAATGTTGAACGTAAGTAGAAACGTCGTCTTCCTGGCAGCTTGTCTGTGACAAATTGGGGAACTGAGACAATTCGTCCTGTCCAATATTTTGCTTCATTAGTTTAACTCTGGCAAAAACGCTGATAAGATGGACTTTGTTTTAATCAAATTTAAACTGTCGCCTTGTAATTGCAAATCAACCATATTAAATTTTGTAAACAAATCTGTTAAATAGGCGATGTCTGTTTTCCTCTTCATTAAATTTTCTTTTAAAATTTTATCTTTAGTATCCAGAAATTCTAAAATAGTCTCAAAAAGTCCAAAAAATCTTGTCAAACATAAGCCTTTCGACAGCCAGCGTACTTCAGTGTGAAGGAGTAATTGATGAAAGTGTTCGTCATTTTCTTCACACAACTGCGCAAATAACCGCGTATTCAACGCGTTGCTTCGGATTCGGTTTACTGCATCAATTACTAAATGAAGTGATTCATGCAATCTAAGGCGGTGGTCTCCTATAAACGCCGTCGGCCGCTTACAGCGTCACGCCGTACGCCGCGTTACGATGCTTACTATAGAAATGTACTGTTGTGGTCTCTTTTACATGCTGACGTCGGCGTATGGACGTCGTAGGCGGCGTAAGACGCTTTGCGCTGCGTCTCTAGTTATTTTGAACCATTGCAGCGTGAACGTCGTGTCTAGCGTCAGTACAAAATGGCCAAATTTAATAAAGGAAAACTTTTTCTTCAACCGATATGGGCTTAGGATGCCTTTTTGATGGCACTTTTATTACATACTCCTGCATAAGTTCTACAATATGTTTAAATTGTTCTTGATTAATACGAAAATATTCAGTAAATTTAGAATCGCTGTCTTTTAAGTGTTTCATTATCAATAGCTGGAAACATCCTTCCTCATTTCTCTTCATAAATAATCAGTGCCTTGTTGCCTTTATTTTTCTTCGTATACGGTCGTCTTGTGCCTCTTCTTCAAGTAACACAAGCGCCGCCAAAAGTGTTGAATTTATATCCATTTTATGAACAAATATCACACACAACCACACTTACTGTTGTTTGATCGAAAGTCTAGACGTCGTCCGTTGCAAATATATATTGACCGCTGACGCTGTGCCTGGCGTTCAGACGCCGATCGGAACGTTTACGCTGAAGTCGGACGTCGCGTATAGCATTTAATAGGAGACCGTAGCCTAACACTCAAATTTTTAGCAACTAAATGTTGTCGATGGATGACGCAATGTATTGCTAACACCCCTGACACATTTTGTTTTAAATAGCTTATAAATCCACGATAACGTCCAACCATGGCAGGTGCTCCATCTGTAGCTACTGATATTATATTTGATAAAGGAATTGCTTTTTCAATGAAGTAATCCTTCAAAACATGAAATATTGATTCACCTTTAGTGTCGGCTATCAAAGTTCTTGCGAAGAGCAGTTTTTCGTAGATTTCTTGATTCATAATAAAACGAACATATGCCAATAATAATGCTGCATTATCAGGTAAAGTTGACTCGTCCAGTTGTATAGAGAAATGGGTCGTTTGCAAATAATTACATAAGAAGCTTTCAATATCAGAACTCATTTCATCAATACGTCTTTCAACATTATTGTTGCTTAAGGGAATTCTTTTAAATATCAGATGCAGGTTTGTGTAAAACAGTTTTTAAAACCTCCTCAACGGCTGCCAAAATTAACTTCTCTCCGATAGTATGCGGTTTTCCGGATTTTGCTATAAGTAACGAGATATTGTAAGACGCCCGCAAACCATCGTCATTTCTTTGTGATGTTGAAGCGAACATTCTGTCCAGTGTAGGTCTCTTTGAAGTTTATCTTTGAGTGTTTGAAAGTATTTCAAATTTTTCTCTGTTTTATCAGGGTGGCATCTTCTCAGATGATCTTGCAGTTTAGATGGTTTCATAGCGTCATTGCCCAAAACTTTGTTGCATAAAAGGCACATAGGCAATTGTTTGTCCGGCAATGATGGAATGAAGCCAAATTTCAAATAATCGACACTGTACTGTCTACATTTCTTTTTAGATTCGGACATGGCATCAGTCATCTCTGGGCAAAATTAAATTATTTAAATAAGACAGAAAATCCAGCAGCTGTATATTAAAAATATTTTTTGATTTTTCCGAAAACATTCCATAATTCGAACATCTTCTTGCAACAATTAGCTCAAATTACGGAGATTGCACTGTAATTATAACACCGATGGCTAAAACTTTCAAAAATAAACTATTGAGGAGTACTCGTGTAATTTTGCATGATTGAATATTAAACTACTAATAACCAGTCATGCTTGGCGTAATTTATCTATCTTTGCTAACTACGAGACCAAAACCAAAATTTAATAAAAAATAATGTACTTACTTTTCTCCAGCACTCTCAAACAAAATAACACTGACTCACTATAATTTTTATTACTATCTGTTTATATTTTTTTAAATATTTTCTTAGCACTTTTTCTTTTCAAGATTCAGGAAACTAATAAACGTATTTGTCTCACATTCGTATTTATAGAGTGACGAATTGAACAAGTCAGTGCAAGGTAGCAAAGCTCTGAGACTGCAACTCTCAGGTTTTTACAAGTTCAAAAATTATTGTGACCACAAAGCGAATACCAACATCCTACAACTTACACAATTTTATAAACATATATAATAAATTTTTTACTTTATAGGTACTTTTATAAATAATGTATATGTTTTGATATTATAAGATAGTATGATGTAAGTAAATAGGTACTATTAGTGTATGTGTTGACCCCCATTTTCATTTCATGGACCCCCAAATTTTTTTCGCTGACGTAGACCCCTTGCAGGTTGTCATAGACCCTTAGGGGTCGATATAGACCACTTTGGGAATCACTGCTATACATTATATTATATAATATTTAATGGCTAGTGTGAACGCGAAGTTAAAATTAAAAGTGCAAGGTTTAAATTCTTTATGCATTTTTAATATAGTGATAACTCTTAAGATTCCCAAGAATTAATTTATAAGGTGTTATGAATATACAAAATAAATTTTGTTATTTTCATAATAATGTGCTAATAGGGTGTAATGGCTTTTTGTTTTTTCAAAGAGTTTAAGCAAAGAGCAAAGAGAGGTAGATGGGAGATATGAATGTTAGTATGTAGTATAATATCATTATCATTCATCACTTTAACCTGTCAGTCTAATTACTGAACACAGGCCTCCCATATATATTGCCTTATGAGTTTTTGTCATAGTATTAATCAATAGAAACTATTGGCTTATGATTTATTTGTCTTTATATTTAAGTTTATAATATGTTTTTCCCCAGAATAAATTAAAAAAATAAAAATAACTCCCACTTGGCAAAAATAACAAACATGCCAATCCACTTGGTTGACACTTTAATCAAAAGGAGACAAAGCCTTAATTATTAATTTACTCTGGACAGGGAAAAAAACCTCTTCTAAAAAAATATTTCAAGACATTGAATTACCCACCCCATAGACTTAACTTCTTTCTAAGGTGAATTTGTGAGGTCAAAATGTCCCCAACAAAAGTGATTAAACAGACAGTTTGTAAGAAATAGACCTAATATATATCTTGAGTGTAGTAACTATTCATAACAAATATATGTTTAACATTAACTTACATCCAGTGTCTTTTAACTTGTGTACTGTTGATGGCTGAATACGCACACATCCAAGAAATCCAGAGCCCTGTCTTTTGTGAACTTTGCGTTGGTTCCAAATGCTGAAATTTTTATTAATATTTCATTGATGAGTTGTAAGGAGGAGGTATACTAACTTTATTTGTTTATGCTAAATTCACATGCATCTGGTATGCTCTTAACTGATAAACAAGATTCTGACAACCAATTTAGAAAAAAAGGTTATCCAAATTAGCTGTGCTCAAAAAACATTCACTCTCCTATCATGCTTAGACTAGTAAATTCAGATGTAAAATAACTTGATTAAACATATGTTGTTTCATTTGTCTATTCAAATAAAATCAACTTTATTAAATAAAGTATGGCATTCAATATATTTTTAAAAGAATGCAGAATTTAGTAAATAAGCAATATATTTTTAAAGTTATATGGTATATTACTAATCTGTAGCATCTTAAAGTGAAAAGTTTTTCTTAGTTCAATAATAATCATGAGTTTATATGGTTGCCATTGACTAGAATTTAATTTCAATTTAAAAACAAAATAGATTTAAGCGTATATTACATGCTCATACAGGCTGTCAGTTTTACAACAATCACAGTTTTGATTGACGAATAACCTACCATGTAATGCAGTGATTGATGCCTGCATGAGTGCATAATGTACGCCTATCAGTCACCATCCGTTTTTTATCAATCATGATTGATGGAATTGATTGACACCTGCAAGAGCGTGTAATACACACCTTAGGCTAGGAAAAAATATGGATAAAGGGTACAGACAACCCTGCAAAATAAGGTGAAATGCCTTGTTTCAAGTAAAAAGGATCTCCAGTTCTTTACACTTACCATACAAAACACAGCACCATAAAGCTGCTATTTTATGCTGATATTGTGGTCCTACCCCGGTCCAGCTGATCCATTCATGCTTCAACCATAATATAGCTGCAATGTGGCTCTATCACTTATTAAAAAGGCATGCATTTCAAGAAAAGCTTACCACCTTGGGTGTTATAAGAAAACACTGAGTTTACTATTTACAATAAAATCCAAAATTGTTTAAGTGTTAATATTATTTAAAAGTGATCTTAATTATAATCACAATTATTTGTTTTATACCTTATTGTGATCCCATCTCCTTTGGTAAGATACAAATCATAATGAGTATTCCATTTTGGATCTAATGTGGCCTTCACAGCATTTGTTGAATATACCTGACCACTACCATCCACTGAAATCTTAGCAAATGGATCTGGTAATCCTACAAAAAGCCATACCAATAAGGAATTATTCAAGACTAATTCATACAATTTTGTTATACAAACTAACAAATTTTATTAAAGCTATAATCAAAAGAGAAATTGTTATAGTTTCCTTGTTATGACTATGAATATTATTTCATATGATTCTGCTTTGAATGTGTATGAAACTAATGTCAATACGCCAGTGTTAATGTTTAATGTTATTTAAAAAATTACATACGAAATAATAACTTTATGTAAAGGAAATAATAATTAGCTTTATTAAGAAATTATATTGCGCTATCAAGATTTTCATACTAAATATTTTTCTTTAACTTTTGTGTTTATTAATTCTTAAAATTTTTGAACGTGAATTTATATACGCTCTTTACATTATATCAAACAACTGTGTACTACACACATTAGTATTACATTCATTAGATAATTTTCATGTAATGCTTTTAACGAAAACATTAGCAATAAACCTTAAAAAGCCTCTAAAATCGTGAGCAACTTACGGAAAAGATCCCTCCGAACCAAGTTTCTTGCACACAATACTAAAATAAAATAGAATATAATTAGAAATTAAATATACATGCACAATATTAGCTTAAAATAATACCCTAAAAGAATGTAATTTGTGTTCTGCAAATAAGAGCATACTTGTGAGTCGAATTTTCTGCGCCCCATATTTACGGTTCGACACTGGTGTGGACATTGTTATTATTTTTCATGAAAACATTACATTACAGGGACTTCATAATAAAACTCGTACTTATTTGACATGTTTTATCTTAAACTTACGACCACCATTTTTATTTTCTTATTTTTTTTTAAAATGTGGTCACTAGGCATGGACCGATATATCAAAACATAACGGTTATGTTACCAAAATACCGTATCATATCGATAAACCTATAGTCCGTTCGCGTTAAGAAAATAGTGAGTCATCAGTGCAACTACAGGGTAAAAGTGTATTCACAGTGGAGTAAAAATTCATTTTTTTTTTCAAACATTTAATTAAGTTTAATGGAAACAAATTTTCTTAAAATTACTTAAATCACTAATCAGATTCTCCAGTTACATTAATTATGAAAGAATTTTGTTCTGCAAGTTCCATGATGTCATCCAAATTCCACATGGTATTTTCTTCGCGTATCACGTGGTCACAGCACTTCTTCCAACGATTAGCGTCTATTAATGCTATTGCGTTATCTAATAATTTTTTGTCACTCATTTTGAACGTGGAGTTATTGGCACCAACATAATTTTTTATTTGGGGACAAACCAATTCAATTGGATTAAGTTTGCAATGGTAAGGCGGTAGGCGAAGAATTGTAATGCCATTACTTTTGGCAGTCTCATCTATTAAATATTTATTATATTGTGGGGCGATTTCGGCAACTTTCATTAATAATTCTTTTTTTAAATAAGTCATGTCCATGGCCTTTGCTTTGCAGCCAATCTGTTATTTGCTGCTTGTTCCAGGTGGTTGTTAGTATTTTTTCGACTCTTACTGAATGAAAGGTAGCGTTATCCATGACAACCACACTTCCTGGTTCTAGCTTAGGCATTATATTAATGAACCAATTAAGGAATCTTTCACCATCCATCTCTTCATGATAATCTTTTGTAGACTTAGATTCAAATACTAGTAGACCATCTTCCACGAATCCTTTGTCGCTGCCAATGTGCAATACAATTAACCTTTTACCTTTTCCTGTCGGAGCTTTTGGACCGGCTGATAAGCCATCTAGAAAGGCTTGTCTTTTATTTTTTACCGTAGCATCCAACCATGCTTTTGTCTTTACGTGTCCGGCGTTTACCCACGTTTTGTTAAGATAGTAAATGGTTTTATTAGCGGCTCTGTATTCTTTTATTTACCCCAGATATTTACGCCTCCATAAAACAATATCTTCTCTTTCGACTAATAATGTTCTGCTATCCTGTTTATTGAAATCGAAACCAAGCTCGTGCATTATTTTATGAAGTGTGGTACGTTTGAAAACAGGAATATCTTCGTCAGCTTCGCAAAGTGTCATAATTTTGTCCAATGTCGGATAGTCGTTATTTAAATACATTGACTGAACTTTTCTCCTTATTGCACATTTGTCTAGTTCATCTAATTTATCGACCGTCGATAGTCAAGCTCTCTTTTTCACGGGTGATTTTAATGGGTTAGTATCCTTTTGTTCTTTAATAATTTTATAAACTGTATTTTCGGACACACCACATGCAACTGCTGTTTTTATTACTGTGCTCTCCACAGTCGCATTTAAATCACACAGTTTAAAGTACTTATAAACATTGTAAATTACGCGTCTCTCTCCGTTATGTATTATTGATCCACTTTTATTCTTTCGAATAGGTGAGGTATTCATTTTCAAAATTTAATGTTGAACAAGTAACACGCAAAATATACAACCGTTTTGTTCGAAGGCCTGACTTCAACTGGTCACTGTGAACTCTACTTTCTAATCTCTCGCATTTTAATTGGCTGGGGGGGGCGTGGCCAGGCTAGCGGACAACGATGACTCACTATTTTCTTAACGCGAACGGACTATAAGTACATAACCGTTATCATATACCTAACCAACGTACGAAAACGAAACCGAAACGCATTACGCAAACTGTGAAACAATCTCTCAAAACGGAAAACGGCCCACTAACCGATATCTTCTGTTGATATTCGTCGCTTCTCGTTCTTGCAATGATAGTTTAAATATGTATAGAAAGAGATGAAGAGAATATGGATATCGTTGCAATGTTTTGTTAGTTATCACACAACGGTGCACATCGCGAAATATAATATATAGTTTAAGCAATAAGGTCGAATATTAAATGATTAAAATTACCTAAATTTTAAGTTTGTGTAGTTATGAGAGTTATCAAATTTTTAACGAACTTAAGGTCGTTAGACACAAGGCTTAGATTTGTATGACTATATTTTGTATATTTTTGGATGGAAAGTTTGAAATTTTCAAAACGCAACAATCACGCACTTGATAAAATTATTAATTTTTGACGTTGCATTCGTGGATTTATTTGCAATATTTTTGTGCATATTGTGCATTAGTTCTAATTCAGATATTTATGTGTACAATGACAATAATATAGTATAGTGTAGTTTAAGTTGATTTAGACTGTCTAAATCATTTTTGTTAAAAGACTTTCAAAATGTCGCATACTCGTAGGGTTAGTGAAATATGGTCTCACTTTGATAAAAGAAAATCAATTTCGTGTATCTTGCTGTTTGTTAATATTATCAATAAACGTTGTCCTATAAATCTACTACTGGGAACTTAAGTACTAACTCCAGAAAGTTTTCTGCTAATCCTAAGCCTAGTCAAGCATGAAGAATAATCGCCAACTTAAATAATCATTAATAGATACACTGCCTTCAATTGTCTTTTAAAAGGCAGTTCTTTAATTGTCTTAGTTATTCGTAAAATAAATGTTTTGTACAGGTTTTACAGTTTGCGGTTATGTTTCGGCTGTCGTTTGCGCATTAAGTATCAATATTAAGTAGCAAACCATTATCACTTATATCGATATCTGAAAACGGTTTTCAATAACGATAAGAAAAGTCAATATCAGATATGTAACCGTTGCAGGAAAAACCTGAAATCGCCCATGCTTAGGATCACAGACTAGAAAAAGATATCATAATTTGGCCGTTTCTATCCATGTAGGTTAGAGAACAGGAGAACGATCGCTACGTAATAAAGCATAGCCCGGTTGACCTTGAAAATTTGTAGAATTTATAGCGGCGCTGCCGTCGGTGAGTAGTGGCTGCAAAGTTAGCTGTTTATGAGTACAAGTAGATGAAGTTAGTTGAATAATGTACAAATTTTCATTTCATTTTAATGAGTAAATTTTCATGCTCCGTAATTTTGTAATTTTTGACAAAAAGAAACATTAAAAAAGGAGAGATATTTTATTGTGCGTGGATGTGCAAGTGGTTTAGCATCTGATCGGAAAAATAGACTAAAAATTACTTTTATTGACCGAACTTAGTGATCGCAGCGCCTCACTTATGGTGTCTATATTTCTGGGACACTATTTTCTACAGCGATCGTTCTCCTGTTCTCTAACCTAAATGGTTTCTATCCTTCACGTTGTTTTAGATTGCCATTTTAAAAATTAGATACAAATAATACAAAGTATTATAGAGTATAAAGTAACACAGTTTATTAAAGGGCATGACGGTTAGAGAACAGGAGAACGATCACTACGTACTAAAGCATAGTCCGCCTGTTCTTGAAAATGGGGTTGGCAACTGTCAAAGTGGCGCTAGCGTAGGTTGTTCCCAAAACATTGCATTTTTCTATGGTCGAATTCAGAAAATAATTTCTAACAGTTACAATGACACGCTGTATTGTCTCTAAATGCTCTGAAGTTGGAACCCACCAAATACCGAAGGATAAAAAAATACGAAGGCTTTTGTTAAAAGCCATTCGTCGTGAAAAATTGATTCCTACAAAAAGTACGAGGTTATGTCGTAATCACTTTGTAGAAAGTGATTATAAAATAACAAGCAAATACACAGGTAAGCTGATCATAATGTGAACTTTTGACTATTATCTTTTCAATCATCCTTACACTCCATAATATTTCGTACCTGGCCATATATCTGCCTATGTAATTTGCAATGTTAAAAATCACGTCTTGTTCAAGGAGCTAAACACCTACATAAATTCTTGAAGAAAGAAGCTATACCATCTGAATCAGAATATATAGCAGCGCTAACGTCGGTCAGTAGTGACTGTGAAGTTAGCTGTTTATGAATACCAGTAGATGAAGTTAGTTGAATAATGTACAAATTTTCATTTCATTTTAATGAGTAGATTTTCATGCTCCGTAATTTTGTAATTTTTGACAAAAAGAAACATTAAAAAAGGTGAGATATTTTATTGTGCGTGGATGTGCAAGTGGTTTAGCATCTGATCGGAAAAATAGACTAAAAATTACTTTTATTGACCGAACTTAGTGATCGCAGCGCCTCACTTATGGTGTCCATATTTCTGGGAAATTATTTTCTACGGCGATCATTCTCCTGTTCTCTAACCTTCATAGTAAAGGGTTATAATCATGTAGTATAGAGGTAAGAAGGACAATCTCCCATAGGAGAATAGTTGAAAATGTGTCCATCCGTGAGCAGGAAATAACAGTTCAAAAACTCTCCACAACAGTGCTCGAGTTACAGGGACACAGTTACAGGGTTGTGATAAATAGCCATAAAAGAAGTTGGGAGTGATTTTAGAGAGACTATAGTAAATATTATACAGAATATGCAATATTATACGAAATAAAGGCCGAATAAGTAAGTAAGTAAATTAAACTGGTATCACTGCAATCGAAAGTACTGCACTGTAGTGGTACACCACAACTTTAACTATCAATAAGGTCATTAACTTATTCGGATTTGTTTGTCGAACAGGTTTTTATTTTTTGTTTAGATTTTATAATAAAGTATTACAAAAAGCAGTAAATTTTTCTATTATTAGTTTAAAAATAATAATAAAGAAAAATAGTTCATTCATTAAATGATAATACATAAATTATTACCGGGAATGAGGTCTCCTTTTAAGTATAAACACTTGGATTAGGAGACTCCACTCTTCCATAGCACTTACATTATTATTTGCATGATCTTTACATAATAGTTAGCTATAAAATTAAAATAAAAAAATAATAACATTCACGCCAAAGTTATGT